TCTATTTTTAACATAAACTATAAAATATAATTAAAAATAAATAAATATTTTTAGGTATTTAATTGAATATGAATTCAATCATAGCCAACAACACATTGCTGCAACGGTTATTAATTTACATAAATTAATTTTTAACTAAATATTTTATTTTAAGATACTTGTTGGAATAATAATGGGATTATTTATTTGGGACTATAAAATTCTGCATGGAGACGCATTTAACTAAAAATTGAAGGAAGGAAATATTGAAAAAAATATTTTTAAAGATTTTAACCTCCTTTATTTTCAAAAAATTTTATATTAAAATAATCTTTATAGATAAATTTAAAATTTTATTTTAAATTTTTAATTTTTCATACTAAGGAGGGGTTTTGCATTTAATAAAATTTTTACCTATAGCTTAAATCCTAATTAAATGATACCTAAATTAATTGTTACAAAATTTAAGTTTATTAAATAAATTAATTCTTAGAGAAATATAATTTATTAAATTAAATGAATCGAAATTGGAGACCGTACCGTACTACGGCCGTATTTTTCGTTACTTATCGGTATTCCGTATTGGTAATACAGTACGGAAAAACTTAAATACCAATCATCTCTCAAGTTTTATTTTATTTTAGAGGAAGGAATTTTTTAATTTAAAATATTTTTAAATTTTTTATAACACAAACAAATAACAAAAAAAAACAGGTTTTTAATTTTAATATGTTTATTTAAATTAAATTAGATTAAAATATAATTTGGCAATTATTTGAGACAAAATATAAATTAAAGAAAACAAAATATCGAAACATTAATATCTCCCCTATCAATTATATGTACTTGTTAATGTACTTTTATTTTTGTGTTTAATTTTTTAAATTAATTATCAAAACAATTTTAAATTTAAAAATTAATTCTTAATGAAATATTTAAAATATAAATTAAATTAATTTTCGACACTTTATTTTTTATTGAATCAAATTTTTGGTTAAATATTTGGCAAAAAAATTAAATAATTGTGAAACCTTTAGCGTAAAAATCAAAGAAATTTAATTTTATCTATCCAAGCTAGGATTATTGGTTCTTGGAAAATCTTCGGATATCCGGAACCGAAGAGAGAAAAATCATCGGTTCTTCGGTTCGAGTCGGTCCAAAACCGACTCTAGTTATACCACCAGAGTTTTATGTATCTCGCATGCTTGCTGAAGGTTAAGGCAAAATCTCGTATTTTCAAAAAATTTCTTGGGTAAGATAAAAAGTTTTAATAATCCAAAACAATTTTAGACACAATTTTATGTGTTTGTTAAACTTTTAATTTTTATTTAGTATATAATTTAATTAAATAATTAAAAAATGAATATTAAATCAAAAATTCCCGAATATGTAAAAACTAATCGTTTTATTATTAAAATATTTCAGGTTTCCTTAAAAATATTTTCTAATTTTTAAAAATTTAATTTTAAGATATTTTGTGGATTAATTGTACATTATAGTATTGGATGTCTACAATGGGATGGATTGTGTTTTAAAGAAGGTAGCATTTTTAAACTTATCGGATCGCTGAATTCTATAAATTTCTTCCTATTCTAACCAATTTTGAGCTTTTTATCCAACGAAAATTTATAAAAAACTGATCACGAATCCGTAGGCAGGTTTTTTTGAAACAAAAACACCCGAAAACCAAGGGATAGATTGCTGAAATTTTTAGTATGCAAATGGTGAATGATTTGAAAGAGCAGATTGAGTTGAGTTAAATTATAACAAAATTATTTAACTGTCAGTCGGTTAATTCAATTTCCCATAGTCTTTCTTGGTGTCATTCAATTCGGCTTGATAAGCTCTTTCAAATATAGGGAAGGTGGAAAATCAGGAAAGTACCAAATATTTTAATGGATCCCAGGCCAATTGGAAAATTATAAAAATTAAATCGAGACTAATTTAGATCGAAACAATATTGTTGCTATGATTAACTTTAGTATTATATTATTAAATACAACTTTATATGGTCTGTTTTAGAAAGTTTTAATTTCAAAAATAATTTATTTATTTATAGTTTTAAATTTTTTAAAAGTGAATACTGTGAAATTTGAAAAATATTCTATAATAATTTGTAATGTAAGTTTAGTAGTAGCTATTGGATTCAGGCAATGGTAAATTCTAAATTATTAAAGAAATATTTTGTAAAAATAATCTCACAAATTCTTAAATATTTATTAAACTCAGAAAGGAGTTTCCTTGATGAAATCTGGGAATTTGTAAAAAATCATTAAATTAAAATATGGATAATTATTCTCATGAAAAGAGAGCTCTAATTATGCATATTTTAAATTAATTAATTTTTGCGGATTTAATGTTTCTCGAACTTTAATTTGTATCAAAATTAGCCCATAAATTACAAATATCCTTTTAAAAATTTTAGAACAAATTAAAATAATTTTAGGTTTTTGATTAAAATACACAAAAGTGCAGATGTATATATATTTGATCCAATAACAGTAAGGGAATAAATAATATTTATATTTTTTTATTTTAAAAAACAGATGTATATTTGTTTTATTATTTTTTTCTTTATTTGGGAATATTTAATTATTACAAAAAGAGCTTTGAATAATGAAGGAGAAAGGAAAAATAATTGCAATATTATTAATGGAAAAGTTTGGAATTTTGAATAATAAAAATTTTAATTTTTTAGAAAAATATTACAATAAATATTAAATATTCTCATGGAAAGAGGGCTCTCATTAAATTATTACAGGTAAAAACACGGAGATAATTTTATAAGCTGCTAATTATGATTAGAAAATTTTTTAAATTTGTTTTTAGATAATATTTGGAATAATTATCTTTGGAGTAAGTGCTATTATCTTTGGAACAGGTGGTCTTTATTCAACTACTTACAACCTTGCAGGTAAAAATCATATTTTTTTGATTAAAGAGAATAAAAAATTATTTTTAAAATTTTTTAAATTTTAGATTTATCATTATTTGTATATATCATCAACCTTATTTTTGTAATTATTAATATTGTGATTGTAGGTAATAAAGTTCTAAATATAATTTTTACATAAATTGAAGCTGGGCAAATCATATTTAAAATCTGGGTTTTAAAACTAGAGACAGGAGTTCAAAGCTTTTAAAATATTTAAGTTATCGCCAGGGATCAAGGATTGGGAGTAATAAGATATCCCAAGATATCCTCTTCAATCCTCGATATCCTCTTAGCCCTCCAAACCCTCTTATATTTATATAATTTTATTTTAAATTTAAGTTATAAATTATTTCAATGGCGCTTACTATAAATTTGAGAGAATTTATTCAATTGTTGGAATGGTCCTTTTTAATATTTGTTTTTTATTTATGATTTGGTAATTAATTTATTTACCGTATTTATTCTAATAGAATGGCCCCTCCATTAGAATGGCCCCTTTTTGGGGGTAATGAAAAATAGAATGGCGGCCATTCTATTAGAATAAATACGGTATATACATATAAAAATATAAATTTTACTTAAATAAACTTTCTATATTTACCCCTCCCTATTAATTACCCTACCCAAAGTGGCCTTTCTTAAAACTTAAAAATCGGGCTAAAATAGGGGAACTATTTCTCACTTTTTTAAAATTGAATTGAATAAATCGGGATCATAAATAAGGAGATTATAAAGAGAATAAAGAGATTACAAATTGATACAATGAAATTAATTAATCTGCCCATTATTCTGTTCCTCTTTTTCACACTCTTTTCGTACATGTCCTACCTAATTAAATATTCTGATTTCCTCGACTTAGTTTAGGTGTTTTAAAACACTTTTTTGTGGAATTTTTCTGAGTTTTTTATTTTAATTTAAAATTAAAAATCTAAAGGAGAATATTATTCTAATAACACTAGAAATTTAAATTTAGACATTAAATTAATCCTTTTTTTAGTTTCTTAATTGCAAATCACTACATTCTTAGACAATCAACTGTTCATGATATTTCATTGTTTATTACATCCACGGTTATCTTATTTAATATTTTAGTATTATTTTAATTTTATTTAAAGCATCTTAATGGAATAATGACTGTTCTGTACTTATTTGATTTTATAATATTGAAGAAAAAATTAGAAAATTAAAGATTATTTTAAAGATTTAGTAGACTTTAAGAATGAAATTTATCAAATTAAAACTTTTATATAAATATTCGAAAACTTGTTTATTATTTTGGCAGTATTAATCATATATTAGCAAGTATTGAACGAAAATTGAGATTTATCTGGCGAGAAAGTTTCAAACGATAATTACACCCTTAGAATATTTTTCCAGTAGAAGATAATAAATTGTTTTTCTTTCCGAGTTTATCTTTTCCTTTTGAGTTAGGAACCATTGACGATCTTCAAGATATGCAATTCTAAAATTATTCAAATTATATAGAAACTTTACAAAAAATTCAGTGAACATTTCCATTGATTATAGTGTTGAAATACAAGAAAAGAAGTCTTTAATTTGTTGAACTTAAGTGATTTTTGATATTAAAAGGATGCCAAGAAAGAGCTATCAATCTTTTCAAAAATCAGGAAACATCGAAGAATCTCAACCTCAAAAAAGTTTAGGTCAAGGATTGCCCCTAAGACATCATTGTTTCAAACAGAGAAATCATTGTTTCAAAGCAGAAGTAAATAAAATCTTTATTAACCTAAGGGGGTCCAGTAGAGTTGACCTTTATCAGTATTCCGACATAAAATCGGTATTTTGGAACACCAATACTTCTTTTATCTTCATCTTTGATCTTCTCTTTTTTTTATACTACTAAATATATTTAAAACAAGTTTCTACTTTTTAATTTAATTATAATTTGTCAAATAAATTATTTGACACAAAATAATTTAAAATTTTTATAATTGTGAAAACAAAATATCAAAAATTTATTTCTTATTAAATTTCAATTAATTTCTTCTTGTTGTTGTACTTTTATTTTTTTTAAATAATTTTTTTTAAAAACTTTAATCATTTAATTTTAATATTAAATAAATAATTTATCAGAAATTAAAAATGAATATTAAAGCAATAATTCCCGAATATGTAAAAACTGATAATTTTATTATTAAAATATTCCAGGTTTTTAAAAAATATTTTTTTGCTTTTAAAAATTTAATTTTAAGATATTTTATGGAGTAATTGTACATTCTAGAATTGAATGTCTAAAATGGGAAGGATTGTGTTTTAAAGAAGGTTTTTTTCGAAATTTTTTTCTAAATAAAGACCCAAACCCGAAAAATATTGGCTGAAGTATTTTAATATGCAAATGACATTTCATTTGAAAAAGCTCATTCAGTTGGGTTGAATGATGCCAAAATCATTACGATCAGAAACCTGTCAGAGATAATTTGATAGTTTAGCTTAACATACATAACTTATCAAAATCTATCCATTCATATTAATTTGGTGTTATTCACTCGCTCATTTAGCTTTGCAAATTTACGGGAAAAATTAATTGATAGAAAAATTTATAGAAAAATTAATGGATCCCAGATGGATCCTAGTTCCCAGATGTGGGATCCCTGATAGATCCCATAGAAGAAAAAAATTAGTGAGAATTTGACAGGCCAACTTGAATTTAGTTGAATATATGTATGTAAATATAAATATTAAATTTAGTTTGTCACAATATTGTTGGTATTATTAACTTTGTAATAATTATTTTAAATACATCTTTATATGGTCTGTTTTGTAAAGTTTTAATTTCAAAATTAATTTATTTATAGTTTTAAATTTTTTAAAAGTGAATACTGCGAAATTTGAAAAATATTGTACAATAATTTGTAATATAGGTTTAGTGGTAGCTATTGGATTCAGGCAACGGTAAATTCTAAATTATTGAAGAAATATTTTGCAAAAATTTTATCGGAAAAATTATTAAAACTTCCATAACTAAGGATTTTCAGGAATTTGAACAAAAGTATGGAATTACATATAGTTAAGCATTTGGTCCCGTTACCCAGTGCCTCGTTGTTTAGTTGTTGTTATAGGCAGAGTCGCGCATGCTTGCAATCATGTGTGAACTCCGCAGAGTATAGAAATAAGTGAATCGCACGCAGTGGGGAAATATAGGGAGAACTCTTCACTATAAGACTCGATGGATTGGCCGGCCGGCAACTCTGTTGAATGAATGAAGAAGTGATCTGCCTTAGTCTATTCCTTTAGAGCTTATATGCACAGCCTACTATCCAATCGCTTTCCCAAGGACAAGTTAGTGGCGATGTTTGACTTAGATAATGGAGGCGGATAATAACTCTCTGGGAATGGCCGTTTGTGGCGTTCTTCGCCTTTTCTTGCCTTTTCTTGTGAACTTCTGCTACTTAGAGCAAAGTTTAAAGCGACATTATTGTTCACGTGATTTCATGATAATCCTTGCCTTACAATATTATAAGTACATTAACAATTTAAAATCTGGGCAATTAAATTATCAATACCTTAAATTATTTTAGCATTTTCTGGCTCCAACGATTTTCAAAATTTAATTCCCTACAGAATTGTCCATATAAAATTACATATATCATTTTAAAAATCTTAAGACAAACAAACATTGCCAAATTAAAATAATTTTAGGTATTTGATTAAAATATATCGAAGTGTACTATTATCAATAACTGATTCTACAACAGTAAGTAAATAGAATATTTATCAGACCTGCTCACGGATACGGATAATATCCGGATACCCGCGGATATCCGCGGATACGGATGGATATGGATAGTGTTTTTTAAAAAATTGGACGGATACGGATGGATACGGATATGATGCTTCAAATCCGCGGATATCCATCTCAAAATTCTAGCCTGCGTTACAAAGAAAGTGAATTTTTTCGCTTTCGGCCTTTCAAAATTTTAAAAATTTTCGCCTGCGGCGCTAAAAAAATGAAGAAATCTGGCTGTTAAATAAGTGACATTCTCAAATTTTCGCCTGCGGCGCTAGAATGAAGAACTCTTACCGCTTAAAAATTTTCATCTACGACGCTCCAATGTGTGTCTACCCACTTAAGGTACGAAGTACAAGTCAGGCCAAATTCAGTGGTGAGTACGAGAAAAATTAGCTCGTACTCTTTTAGCTGGGGAAACGAAAATTTTCAGAGGGGTATGGGAAATTCCCCCACCCACCCCCTAATTGGGAAAAAGGAAAAAATTAGGTGAGGGGATTGAGCAAAAAGTGAATTTTTTTGGCCTAGGCCCTTCTAAAATTCTCAAAATTTTCGCCTGCGGCGCTAAAATCAACTGGTCAGTTAACAAAATTTTCATTTCGGCCCGAAACCGGGAATTTAATTTCAAAAATTCTCAAAAATTTTCAAAATTCTATTTTTTGTCAGTATGATCCCTGATAAGCAGCGTTTAGTCGGAATTCCTATCTCTGCCTTACGATTTTCGACCTCCGATATTCGTAAGCAAGGTTAGTTATGCTGCATCCAGTTATTACCTTGTTATCTACCCGTTACTTGAATTTAAATAAATTTGACCATTTTGAAAATTCTAGCAAGGCTGACCATTTTGAGAAAAAACGGATATATCCGCGGATATCCGCGGATGGATATGCCTAAAAAGTTGGACGGATACAAACGGATACGGATATTGACCTCACGGATATATCCGGATACGGATAGCAAAATCCGTGTCCATGAGCAGGTCTGATATTTATACCTATTTATGTACATACATATATCAGTGCCGGAAAAAAGATTGGGCCAAAGATGTTAAATTAATTATTTTCGACTATTTCTCTTTTTAATTAACTTTTGGAAAAACAGATTCAACACAAAATTTGTAGGCATTTAAGTGCAAATACTACTCAATTTGTGGGGTATAAAAAAGATAGGACCAAACTAATTTAAAAATCCAAATTTTTGTTCGGCCATAAACTCCTTAAAATTTTTTTCTGTTAACATTTTTATTGATATTGAGTAGAAAAGGAAAAGGAGTTACATACCTAAGTCTGTAACTTATTTCTTTATTCATTTTTGTAAATTTTTTCGCATAATTTGAGGAGAGGAAAGTTTGTGCGTTTGGCCAAATCTTTTTTTAACGGCACTGTATATTAATTAATTAATTTAACAAAACCAGATGTTTATTTGTTTCATTATTTTTTTATTTATTTGGGAATATTTACTTCTTACAAATAAAGAATTAAATAGTAATGAAGTTAGAAATAATAATGACAATGAAGGAAATTTAGTATTTTTAATAAAAAAATTTGTATATATTTTTTATTTATTTAGAAAAATGAAAGGAACCGACTTAAATTAATACAGGTATTATTTACTAAATAGATTAGGGGGAATTATTAAAATAAAATATTAATTTAATTTTTATTTAAAATATTTTATTAAATTTAAATGAATTAGTAGGGGTGTCAATTATATGGAAATCCATATTTTTTTCCTGAATTCCTATGACTACGAAATGTACGAAAAACATGTTTTTGGCTTGTTTTAGGGTTTCCAGAATGGTCTTTAAAATCCGTATTTTTCCATGTTTAGCCTTTATATCCATATGTTATATCAATATTTCTCCTTTTTTGAATATTTTGTTCCATATTTGGCCATTTTTTAGTAAATTTTAGTAAAAATTGGCGAAAATTTTTAAAATTTTTGGTCAAAATATTTTTTTGAAAATTTTTTTAACAGAAATTTTAAATCCATAAAATCTTTTAGAATGATCTTAAAATGCAAAGTTAAAGGCAAAATTATTGTTTTCTACATAAAATACTGATTTCTAAAATATTTTTTCATTATATTTTGATCCATATTTCGTGATTTTATATCCATATTTAATGTTTATTTCCATATTTATATCCATATTCCAGGATTTTTATCCATATTTTTCGAATTTATATCCATATAATTGACACCCTTATTAATTAGGCTAAAAATAAATTAAAAAGTGTCTTTGTTAAGAAGTCTTTTGAGGTTATTTATTTTTAAAAATTTATTCAGATAATAATTGGTTATGGCACTTGCACACTTCTCGTTTATGGAGGGCGTTCATTCTTTAATGCTGGTTATTAGAAAATTAATATCCATTTAGAGATATTTTTTAGAAAATAATGGATTTGCTAATTCTCTTAATTTTGGCATATTTATAATTAACGTTGTTGCTCTTTTCTGTAAAATTCTTTTTTAAAATTTAAAAAATTTTTTTTAAGTTTTGAATCTTTTAAATGCCATAATTAATCGAATGGAACGTCTTTGTTCAGTTATTGGGGTTATTTTGTTCATTATTGCTTTTGGAATAATTACTTGGTTTTCTTAATAAATTTAATTAATAAATATTAAATATTTAAAGGTATTTAATTGAATATGAAATTGGCCGTAATTACGTTATATTTTTAAAGGCCTTAATTGGAATTCAAATGACTGCTTTCATTTGGGATTACCAAATTCTTGGGCAGGCTTTTTAATTAAAAATATTTTAATTGAACTTATTTAATTGAATATGAAGTAAATTTAAACATTTAATACTAAACATTGTTTCTCTTAAATAATTTGGAATATACATATACCTATTATAAATTCTTATTTTTAACAAAAATTTAAATTAAATCATATTACGTTAACATACATAGACACTAGAGACCGGACTTGAGTGATCGTTCGATAATATTGACATCGATATTTTCTATCGATATATCGTATCGATCCGGTCTCTAGCAGACACTTCCTACACTTAATTAAACGTTTCTTAAAAACGTCTCTAATAGGTTAACCCCAATATTTAGCAAAAAATTTTATTGAAAAATAAATTAAAAGGAATGTTTAGAAAATGAGAAAATTTTTTTTTTAACATTTTAAATCAAAGTAATCTGCCCCTACAATTATTTGAGCCACAAGAACATAAAATAACTTTATTCGCAACTGACCCAATTTCATACATATAATCCCATGTAATCTCCTAAAAAGCTAAATTTTATTTAATTTATTATTATTCTTTTACCTGTCCAGCTTTTACAAATTTTGTTGTGAAAAAAGCACACCAAGGAAATCTCAAATCATGAGTATCAACCTTAAATATTTTTTAATAAATAATTTATAAATTTTAAATACCAAGCAATGTTGTATTTGACAATTAGGTTCACAAGAATGATTTAAAAACCGTCCAATATTTCCTGTTTTAGCAGCGTCAACAACAAACAAAAAATTCTTCCCAAAATAATCTTGAAATTCTTTATCTTTCCAAGGTTTAACTTTAAAAAAAGGAAAGGTAAATAAATAAATTAAAATAATTTACTTACCTTTCTTCTTTTTATTAATTTTTTGAACATTTGGTTCTTTCAAAACTCCAATTGCTCGTAATCTAAAAATTTAATTTGTTTTAAACAACAAATATTATTTATTACTAGGGATCGGATTTATATTTAAATAAGGCACAAAAACGACCTTAGTCATAAACAAGCCTTGACTGACCAATATCTGACCATTGACTTCAAATAGAAGACAGAAATGACCAGTGATTGATGTGATAAAAAATGGAGAGACGGCGGTCAGTTCGCAGGCAGGGTCGCTTAAGTGATTTAAATATAAATCCGACCCCTATTTTATTACTGATCATCCATTTCCGAGATTGGTTCATTTTCTTCCAATTGTTGACTAGTTGAAGGCTCAACAAAAGCTTCATCATCATCCTCATATGTTAAATCAATTTCAGATACATTTCTACTTTTTTGAGTTTCCGAAACTTAAAAATAAACTCTAATTTTTAAAAATTCCCTTCAAAACCTTCATCATCTCCATAACCTTCATCAGTTATATAATCAATCCCTTGCTGTCTCTTTTCACGCTCTACAACATCAATTAAATCCAAATCGGCAAAATATATATCGTTTTGTAAACTATCTGCAACTTCCTCGTCAATAAGTTCGCCAGCATATGTACAGACCTTTAAACAGTTAATTTTTAATTTAGAATCAAAAAATCTCACAAAAGTCCCTTCAGGAATATCGACAAGTGTGCGAACACCCCAACCTTTATCAGCAGTCATAAACATCTAAAAATTAATCTTTCAAACAAAATTTAAAAATTAAAATACTGATAGAGGTATTTGAAGATCTTGCTGAACAACTCGGTTGAAGCAGGTTAATCTATTGCATTTACAGTTGGAATTACACTAAAAACTTCTAAATATGTACTTTGTTTAATTTTTCAAAATTAACCTCATAAATACCACTAATATGTTTATTTTCCAATCTTCGATGATTATATCCTTTAGGTGAGGATTTTGGAATTTTCAAAGACTCACTCAGTTGATTTTGTGCTTCTATAGTTAATTGACGGCATTCACAATTATCACTCGTACAGTCATCTTTGTAATTTAAAATAAAAAAATAAAAACAATAAAATACCTATACAAGTACAGCCAGTACAGAAAAATGGACTAATAGATTCCTCAACAAGTTTGTTTCCACCTAAAATATTTTTATTTTTTAAATAACATAAATCTTTCCAAAAAACTCTTGCCTGGTTCCATTCTTTTTATTCCAGTTCTCCTCGGTCGATAAATCATCTAAAAATAAAACAATTCAGAAAAATGAGAATAAAAAGTCTTAAAAATAAAAAACAAACATCAGGCAAAGGTGCATTTTCCACAGCATTCACTAAAGGTATAGGAATTGCTTCTTGACCCTACAAATAATTTTTAAAAAATTAAAAGAAATTTTTTAACCGATGTAAAATCTTCCAAAACAACATTAGCCAATTTAATTCTAATTTCAGGTTTAACTTGAGAATCAAAAGTAAACATATCAATTGATAAATTTTGTTGTTTTGTAAGTTGTAAATATTCAGCAATTTGTTCAATAAATGAAAGTTGAATTCCACAAGGAGTTTTGTAGACAATTTTCTTTTTGACTGTAAAATATTTTTTGACAGAACTTTTAGTATTGGAATCACAAGCAAGGTTGAGTGTCTAAATTAGATTAGAATAATAATGCAAAGATAGTTGAGTTTAATTTAAGTTTTAAATTTGTTAGCACAAGGGAAATTCTATTTTTTAAAATCTGTTATGGTCCGAAAATTCTTTTGTTGACCGGAATCTGACCTTCCAGTCTACTCGGAACCGGAACTTTTTTGTCCACGGACTTCTTGTTAACCGATTCACTAATCGAGGTTAAGGTCCATCAAAACAAATATTATTAATAAAATCCAAAGTCCTATCTCTATTAAAAACGCAATTTTCAATTACCAATCTAGCCCATCCATTTAGTAAAGGAATAGAATATGGAGAGTGGTAGCGATCAGGATATTTTGTAACTTTAATTGAACTCAAACAGACAGGTGAACATGTCAATCTAGTTGTTCCATTGCCACTGCTTTTATGGAAATTTTTTGGACGAATCCATTTTGGAATAACAATACGTTCCTCTTGAACCTAAAAAATTAAAACAAATTTAAAATAAAAAAATAATTGAACATTTGAAGTTAATTGTTTTCGTTTTGAAAGAGTTCCAGAAGATCTTGTCTGCATTGGTGGCAATTCAATAGATTGTTGTTTTGATGATTTTCTTGCTGTTTGATGTCTTATTTCTTGCATTATTTGAAATGATTTATATAAATCTACACTATTGAGTGGATGAGCCATTTCGAATTGCCCCATTTTACGTCCAGTTCTAACAAGAGGTCTCTGAAAAATTAAAAAAAATTATTTAATTTAAAAACAAACCCCAGATAAATGTTGTTGAGTATTTTGGTTATTTTGAGTAGAATGTTGATTATAATTTGTTGAAAGGGCAAGAGTTGGAAAACGTAAAGGATTTCCTCGATATACCCATTCATCATTGTGGGCATGTTCTGAAAGTTTTTAATTAAAAATTAAATTTAGAATTAGTGTAAAAATTTAAAAAATGATCTTATGTTAAATACGAAGACATTGAAAAATGTAAATGAAAAAATAAAATAAAAAATAACCTTTACAATTAATAACCACACAATCTTTAATATTTTTAACAACATTAGATTGAATTGAAGGCCAAGCAGCTTTATTCATTCCAGGAAAACGAAGAAGAGCAAGTTGCCTATCAACATCCAAAACGAAAGCAGAATCGTTTAAACCATTCCGAATTGCCTTTAAAAGAACCAAAAAATATTTTTAAGATTAAAAAAACCAAAATTCTTTGCATATTTTCAGTTTTCTTAAGTTGTATCAAAGGCCAGTCAGGATAACAAGCAAGATAATGACTAAATAATGAACATATTAATCAATTAAGGGCATAACCAGGGGGCTAGGGGGATGATCATGTTAGAAAAATTTAAAAAAACATTTTAAACACCCCATGTTAGACCCCCTCCCCTCCGAAACCGACCCCTGACAACGCCCTTGAAATTAATTAAATATAAAATAAACCGAATAAATTCAGCTCTAGTTGAATTCACAACATTTTTAAAAGCAAGCCTTGGTTGGAATTTTTGGTTATCATCCAATGGCTGGTTAAACATTAAACGAATATCTGTTGGTTTGACATAAGCATCAATCCCATTGTCAAAGAAAACCTTTAAAATAATTTTTAAGAATCAAAAAAATCCTTACCAAATATTCAAAACGATTTTGGCTAAAAGGTTTAACGGCAATTGTGCCTTCAAAATAAGAAGCTGACAAAGAACCAATTTGAATAGCTCCACGTTTACATAAAGCAACAACACGAGTACCTTCCGGACAGCGAATAGTTGGTGCATCCCCCATTGCTAATTGTGATGATTGAAGTAAAGAAGTTGTTGTAGTGTCTAAATAAAATAAAAAACTAGAATAAATTGAAAAATTCCAAAAATTAACCTTCAGAAAGTAAAAATCCTTTTACTTGACAGAGGCCGACGGAATCCTGAATTTATGTAAATTCCTAGTTAATTTACAAAAAAACCTTTTTAATTAATTTACACTTTGCAAAACCATTTGTATAAACTTCATTATTTAATTTTGAAATCGGCGCAAAATAAAATTGATTTTCTTCCAAAATTAAATGTTCATTTAAATTTGCTTGAGATAATTCTTGCTCGAGCCAATTTGGCCATTTCTTTACTCTTTCATTGAAAATTACTAAATCACCCTTAATTAAATTTTAATATATTATGGTCGATGTGAAAAATTTAAAAAAAAAAACCCCCCCCCCTGGGGAAATGAAAAAATTATTGAAGGGAGATGATCAAAAACGTGAATTTTTTCGCATACAAAAAATTCGCTCGAATCGCAATGTAAACGACAAAATTTTGGTTCACAGTCCATTTTAGCCCCCAGAAATCTTACTATTTTAATAAGTAAAAAATATTAGAAAGGGGATACAAAAATACAGAAATATAATCAAAAAATGGCTGTTAATCAGTTAGTGGTCGTTTCGAAATAAAAATCAAAACCGAAAAAATTTTTTGCCCAAAAAAACAATTTTGATATAATTAAAAATTACTTAAATATTCTAAATTTAAATTTAAATAAAAATTAACCTCCAAGTTTTCAGAATCAGATTCTGATGAATCCGAAACAAATGTTTCAATATTATATTTATGATCAGGTACACGACTCTTAAAAAATAAATTTAAAAAAAAATAAATTTTTTTTAAAAAGAAATACCAAAGCCTGATTTATTTCATTCATTTTATTTATCATTTCAGTTGTTATTCTTTGATGCTCATTCGAATTTTCAAATAAATTATCTAATTCATCAATAATTTGATTATTCCTAAAAAAATTCAATTTTTTGATTTTTAAAAACAAAAAAGAAATTTTCTGAAAGAATACTTGGAGATGAAGGGAAAATAATTTTAACGTCGAAAACGTTAAAGCTTTTTTCAAAAAGTTAAATATCGGGAAATATAGATGTAATACTTTAAAAGAATTTTCTAAATCCCAAAAGCAGGCCCAAAATTTTAACCAAAATTTTTTCGGGGAAATTTTGATTTTTTAGCGCCGCAGGAGAATTTTGATCTTTTTTAATTTTATAAAAATTTCTCTCCATCCCCTCACCAAATTTTTTCCTTTTCCTGGGGGAGGGGGGGGGATTCCCCACTACCTCCGAAAGGTTTGAGGAGTGTTTGGTAATCAACCAAAGATTCATTTAAAAAAACAACAAACCTTTCAATAATATTTAAATCAATTCCAGAATAAATATCCAAATGTTCATCGAGTAATTGATTGAAATCATCTTCAGCCTGTTGTACTTCTGAGTTTGTAATTTTACTTGAAAGAGGAGGAAAAGTTAAATATGGCTCGAAAAGACGAGCAACTGATGGAAATTCCAATTCTGTCCAAATAATTGTTAGTAATAATAAAGCATCGCAAGGAGTGATTAAAAGATTCTAAAAATTATTTTTAAAAATAAAAAAATGTTGAAAATAAGCTATAAAAATAAAATAATTTCAAAATAATCTTCTATAAAAGTTTTAAAAAAAGTGTGGAGCCAAAAATCAGACGCATGATGTCTTAGTTAACGTTTTTCTATGTATTTTTTCTGTATCGAACGCCCCCCCCCCCCCGAAATGAAAAAATTTGGGGAGGCAATTGGGCACAAAAGTGAATTTTTTTGGCCTATAGCCTTCTAAAATTCTCAAAATTAACGCCTGCGGCGCGAAAAATTCAGTACAGAAAAACTCTCGACCCTTGCCACCTCCCCAAATAATCCTGATAACGGGCCTGTTAGGAGTTAAAAAAATTTATTAAATCGATATTATATTTTATTTAATTGAAAAATAATTTCCCTTAAATCTTTTAACAAAAAAATAAAAAAAAACCCTCACAGAAAGTAATTCATCCAAATCATTAATTTCTTGTCCATCAATTAATACTTCAATTAATTTAATTATTTTATATTCATTCAAAGCCAAAAATTTAATTAATTTTGTTAAATCTGTAGGTTTTGTTTTATCAATCCAAAGATGTTTACAAACAGCCAAAACAACTTCAAAAATATCCAAATTAAATGCATCCATGATATTTTTGATAATTTCATCAATTATTGAATTATTGTAAAGATTAAATATTTTTTGGATTAAATCATCTGTAAGTCTCTAAAAATTGAGGGAAAATAATTTATATCAAATTTGGGTAATAATTGAACTTGACAGACCCCATTTCTCCTCCTCCTCTCCCCCTTCTTCCCTTTATATTTGCAGAATGGTCAGACTTCTTCCTTCAATTTTCCTTACTTCCATCCAAGGGGGAATAAAAATGAATTCCTTTTGATTGTTTGTAAAGAAAATATAGAAAAGCAATTGGGATGGAAGGAAAAGTCTGACCATTCTGTAGATATATAGGGAAAACTTGGGGAGGAAGAAATGGGGGCTGTCAGGCTCAATATTGCCCAAATTTGTTTTTAAATAATTTTTAGGCGTAAAATAATCAAAATTAAAGAAAAAATAAATAAAAACTTTTTTCTAAGCAGTTAATTTGTATAAACTAAAATGCGGCGCGGGAAGGATCCCAGAAGGAATTTTACGGGATCCAGTCCCGGAATCCCGTGTTTTAAGCGACAAACGGGATTACCGGGATTAATCCCGCGGGATCATTCGCGTTCGATCTTTAGAAACTCAATCCCGTTACGGGATATGGGAATGCGATTTGGATATGGAATGCGATTGAAATTCTTAACAATAAATATTTACATATGGGAATGCGATTTACATATGGGAATGGATATGGGAATGCGATTGAAATTCTTAACAATAAATATTTACATTTTTGTTTCCATCAAATTTTGTCGAAAATTTTTCAAAAAGTTGTTTAGTTTGATAAAGCAAATTTTGTTCTTCCTCAGAATTAAGTATCCGAATTCTTTCGCGTAATTTGCTAGTTGTAGGTTTAATATCACATTCTGCAGGCAAACAATCGAAAGACATTTTGTAAAATTAATTGATATAAATGAAAATCTAAAATTATTTTAAAAAAATAAAAATTCATTAATCAAACAAAAAAATATTATAATTTGCAGGTTTGAACTAGGGTTGGTCCCCGACCCCGACTAACCCCGACCCCGACCCCGAACCCCGACATTTTTTGACCTAAAACCCCGACCCCGACCCCGACATTCCCAACCCCGAAAACCCCGACCCCCGAAAGTTCGACCCCGACGACCCCGAACCCCGAAAAATTTTTATGCCCCCGACTCAAACTGCATTAATTAACTAGAGATCGGAACGGGATCGGGACTTTGATGCTAAATATATGAAGGAAAAGGGAAAGGAATATTTATATTTTCTCCTGTTTCCCTTTGTTGGTCGATGGTTGAGTGGTTAGGTTAACTGACTTCAGCCATTTAGCTATTTGATAGGAATGTTGTTCGAATCCAGGGATGGAAATAAGGCTGAGAAAATTTTTCTTCTCAAAAATAAATATTTTTAAACTATGATCTTGATTTTAAATTTGTAAATGTATTTTTTTAAATATTTTAAACTTGAAACAATATTAGAAATTTTAAACTAGTCATGAATTTTCCAAAATTTTCGCCTGCGGCGCAGAAAATTGAAGAAATCTGTCTCTTGGCCTTCCAAAATTTTAAAAATTTTTGCCTGCGGCGCCGAAAATGGAAGAAATCTGGCTCTTGACCTTCCAAAATTCTCAAAATTTTTACCTGCGGCGCTAGACACAATGAAGGGATACAGAGGCTTTAGGGATACAGAGGCTTCCCCTCAATCCCTTTACATAAGAGGTGGAGTAAGAGTTACCTTGTGGGTTTGGGGATTTTGGGGATTATGAAGGATAATTTGGATAAAGTACTTCTTGCGCCTTCAACTAATCACGAATTAGATACAGAAAGTGAAGATAATGAAGATTAAGTTGATTTTTTAATAAAAATGTTGATTTTGAACAGTAATTTTGGATAAAAATGCTGGATTTTGTAAATTTTCACTTCAACCCCGACCCCCGACCCCGACCCCGAACCCCGACATTATTTTCAGCCCCGACCCCGACCCCGAACAATTTGAGCAACCCCGACCCCGACCCCGACTTTGTCAACCCCGAAAACCCCGACCCCCGACTTTTCCAACCCCGAAGGCTCGGGGACCAACCCTAGTTTGAACTCAAAAAAATAAAATTATAGATTGACACTGAAACGTCCTGTGTTCCGACTTTTTGAAAACAAAAGAGAACTTTTTATCGCTAAGTTTTATTAAAGTACTGTATTAAAGTAAATAATAAATATTTAATAAAAAGTAACTAAAAATTCGGCATGGAGAAAAGTAAACGATTAAGCTGAAAGGATTACTAAACAATTTACTCATTCAAAATATTATTTTGAAATATTTTTTCAACAATTATTTATTTTTTTGTTATTAAATTTTTTAAAAGAATATTTAAAATTAAAATTCTACATTATATTTATTTGTTTAGCTCAAAGCTTTATTTAATCATTAATGCCAAGATTTTTAATCAAGTAAAAATTAAAATAAATCATCAAAAATACAAAATTAGTCACTAAAAAGTCAAAACTATGTAGAGTAACTGATGAAGAGGATTTTTTAGAAAATTAAAAAGTTTTCTTAATGATTTTTAAAAAATGAAAACTTTCCTGAAACTTCCTAGAAATCAATAATTCTCTCGAGAAAAACTTATGATTTTTGATATTGTCAATCCCCCACTTTTTGAATTTTCTGTCAAAAATTTGTGAAAAACTGCTAGTAAGTCAAAAATAGTCTGAAATAATCAACTTAAAAGTCAATCAAGGGAAACTTTTCGTTCAAAAAACTTATTTTTGAGCATTTTACCTTATACAAAAATGGTTGTAGAACTAAACTTGTGACTTTTTCAATGATTCAGGCTTATTGTTAGGTCACAGAAGATATGCCCGATTTGTCGGAAAAATACAGAAAGTGATGAACTTGAAATCTCCTATGATCATAACCAGCAAAATCGGGTAGATTAACCCCAAATAGAAAATTTGGAACCAAGAAACACAAATCATTTAAATCCTGACTTAGTATTAATTATAAATATTTTTTTATTTTTTAAAAGAAAAACCCCAAAACATGTTTAAAAATTTAAAGGTAAAACCCTCGTGATTCTCTCCCCCTCTATAAAAATTAATAATATCGATAATCAAAATTTGATTTTATGTATTGCTCTCATGTGAAAAATTAAACAAAGAAAATTTTCATTGATTAAAAAACCCTCTCCTCTCAATGGCACTCGCAAATTCATAAAAAAATTTTCTCTCTTCCCTCCATAAATTAATTTTTAATTTTCCCCCTAAAAACATGTAAAATGCCTTTAGCTAATTTATTATTTTCCTTATTAATTTTATTTTTAACAACAATATTGCCTAGCTATACAGACCCATTTACACAAGAACAAGCCGATTGTGTTGCTAATTATCTTTTAATTAGCAAGAATTTTAAAACAAAAATTTTTGCCGAGGAATTTGGCGAAGATTGGAAAATTCAGAGAGGAATTCCTAGAGAATTATTGGAGAATCTGAAAATAAAGAGAGAAGAAATGACTGAATTAATGGGTAAAGATTATGCAGTTCACTGTTTTGCAAAATTAGGTAAACAAAATGAAGAGAACTTTTTTGTTAAAGATATTGAAACTACAACAGGCAAAAATTATTTAATTTTATCGCAGGCCTTTCAGGACAAATTATGTAAGTACTTAACATGAACTTGGAAACGTTTGGGATTTTGAGATTGATAAGGGGTTTTCGGAGATCTCGAGTTCTTCAAGTATTTGAATTGTGGAAAAGAAATGGTTAAATTAATAACAAAACAAAAAAACTTAAACTAAACGTCTATTCATTATATCAGTGTGTATAATACACCTACATATTCGGTGTGCTCTAAACTGATAAAAATGATTTTTAAAAATTTCCATTACTTCACTATTTTATAAAAATTGTTAATGATTGTTCTAATCTCATATAACTAATATTTTAGCAAAACAATCTTTATGTTTGGCCAAATTTTTAATAGAAACTTTTGGTTCCGAATTTATTAAAGTAATAGCTATGCCATCTTACATTAAAGATGAGCCATCTTACAAACATAATGAAGAAGTAGCAATTTTAGATCATTTTAAAAAATTGTGGGAGAATAAATATTACGTTTTTCGTCTGAAGTTGAAGCTGACACTTACTAATCGTTTCATTTTAGAAAATTATAAAAGAGGTACTCAAGAATTTGAGAAAATCGAAAAATGTTACAAACATTTTAGTCTGAAAGGGTAAATTTTATTTAAAAAATTTCTGCTGAACCGCCCATAATTTTAGGATTAATATGAAGAATATTGATGACGATAAAATTTTTCGACATATGTGGAATCATTTCGATTCTGAGCAATATTTTCTTAAAGAAATTCCGGAATGTAAGAATTAAAAAATATTTCAATTTTTAGGAAAAATTATTACTTTCAGTTTTTTTTATAATTTTAATTAGTGTTGCCGTTTTCGATTCGAGCCGACGTTCGGAGCATTTTTTTCGAGCTTCTTGGTTTTTTTCGATTCGGTTCTTGTTCGAGCCTTTCGAGCTGAAAAGCCTCGGCTCGCTCGATCTTTCGAGTTTCGGTTCGATCGAGCTGGCAACCCTAATTTTAATGCCATAATTTCATTTATATTTTAGAGATTTAAAATATTTAATTTAAAAAATAAACTGGTACTTGTGGGTTAAGTCACTACAACATTAACAAAATTGGCTGTAGTGTAGTTCACCGGAGGTAAAAGTTCGGGACGAGACATATGTCATTCGATTCGTCTCGGCGAGCTGAGTCGAACGGTACCACTCCCAATTTCAGGAAATGATTCTGGACCGAGTTATAGGTCCCGAAAAATCGAAAAACCAAAGGGGGGAGTAAGCACTTTTTTGGGGTGAAAAATTCGAACATGCAAATTATACCTCATTCGAAAGAGCTCGTTGAGCTGAGTCGAAAGACACCAAAATCAACGAAATCTGGCTTGATTTGACAAAGTTATGATCTTTTATTTTAGCTCCTTACCTATGGCATC